AGGCATGCACAACGTCCTCAGCGGGACCCCGAGGTGCAATGAGGGCTGCTTCCCACCAGAGGGCACTCTCATGCTCCTCATCCTCTCTTCTAGACTAGGGAGGGTGCAGAAACCACTGATTCCCACCAGAGGGCACTCGCATGATCCTCAGCCTCTCCTCAAGACCAGGGAGGGTGCAGTAACCACTGATTCCCACCAGAGGGCACTCTAGGTGTACACACCATCCTCTTCTCAGGTCCAGGGGATGCAGTGACCACTGATTCCCACCAGGTGGTGCTCTAGGTGTGTGCACTGTCCTCAGGACCCCCCCGGGCCTCCCACAAGCCCCGCCCCTGCACCACTCACTTCCTGGGGCTTGCTCCACCCCACCCCTCCCAGCTTCTCATTGGCTTGCTCTTGCCCCTCCTCTCTTGTGTTGTGTCCCGCCCACAACCCCTCCCTTCTTGAGCGGCAGGACAGGAACGTGCCCCGCCCCTTGGCCTCTCACCTTCCAGCTCTTGTCGCTCAGCCGTGGGCACCGAAGGTTGGGTTCTTGTCCGGGCCGACCTCGGTTGGAGGCCTCGCCCAAGGCCCCCTGGGCAGCGCTGCCGCCAGGCCCCGGGTGGAGGCCGCTCTCTCCAGGTCAGAACCCGGACCTGCCGGAGCCCCGTTTAGCCGGGCTGGTCAGCGCCGAATCTTCCGTTCAGAGGCGCCATGCACGTGTCACCAGGCAGCCTGAGCAGGCGGGAGGGGCTGGAAGGGGGCGCGGCGGTGCGGCGCCTGCTGCGAGCGCGAGGCCCCGGGTTCGCGTCCGCAGCGCCCCAGACGCAGGAAAAGCCGGAATGGCGCCGTGGCCCACGACCCACAACAACGACCACGACCACGACGACAGATGTGAGTATAAAGAAGCTATTTTTCTGAGACCATATAATGGATAAGAGTTTCGTTGTCTTACTACAAAGTCTTGATGATCGAAGCTTTTGTGTCCTGAGCCATTTATACCAGGTAAAAATGTCTATTCCAGTCTTTTACCAGCTTAATTTGGTTATTTCCTTTCTGAGTTAGTTTTTTTAACTGTAACTTACATACCATCCAGTTCACCCATCGAAACTGCAACTTCGTTTGTATATAGCACATTCATTTTTAACAACTACAGTGAAACACATGAACTAAGATTTATAGAGGGCTGGGAAGGTGGCTCAGTGGTGGAGCGCTTGCCTTGCATACATGAGGCCCTGGGTTCGATTCCTCAGCACCACATAAGCAGAAAAAAAAGGCGGAAGTGGCGCTGCGGCTCAAGTGGTAGAGCGCTAGCCTTCCTTGAGCTGAAGAGCTGAGGGACAGCGCCCAGGCCCAGAGCTCAGGCCCCATGACTGGACCAAAAAAAAAAGATTTATAGGAAGTCATTCCATTTTCATTATCATTTTGTTTCAGGAGCATGAGCCCTGAAAACGCCCCGAAAGAGCAGGTAGGCAAGAATGGCATCACTCATGCTAGTTTTGCAAACAGAAAGCTGTTAATCACCCACCAAGGGGGCAACCAGCCAAGAGAATCCCATGAACGGCTTGTGTCGCCGCTCAGCTTTCAGTAGTGCTGCCCTGAGGCCACCACCCAGGGGCTGACCGCTGAGCCAACCCATCTCTTAGAAGGCCTGCTGCTGGGTCCACAAAAGTCACGCCGCTCTCTCAACTTCATTTTTTGACATTTTATCCCATGGCAGATATAACTAAGTATTCGATCATAACCACTTTCAGGTTTGCAATTGTGTCAACTACATGGATCCTAAGGAATGGCTTTCATACTGACCTACTAGGCATCAAGCCCCAGGCTGCACTCCTAAGATAAGGAACAACTCTAGATGTGGGCTCAGCAGCATAAAACAGAAATGAAGCTGGGCAGCAGTGGGCTCACGCCTATAATCCTAGCCACTCAAGAGGCTGAGATATGAGGATCACAGTTCAAAGCCAGAACATGGAAGTCCATGAGACTCTTATTCCAAATCAAACACCAAAAAGCTGAAAGTGGAATTGTGGCTTAAGTGGTAGAGTGGCTGTTTCTTGAACAAAAAGCCCAGGGACAGCATCCAGGCCCTGAGTTCAAGCCTAGCATGAGCACAACAAAAGAAAAACGGAAACACATCCCTCTGCTTCATTTTTCCTGAAAGGCAATGTCAGAGCCACTGGCAGTGCACACGATCTTAGCAAAGACAGTTGATTTCAGTAAGACCTACCAAGCTTCTAGAACTCTGGGTAATTATTTAAAGCTTCTTCATCTGTTACTAAAGAGGACTTGCAGGTTCCCTGGTGAGTCAGTGGCCACCTCACTCCCTCTACCAGTGCAGTTATGTCTGCAACCTCCCCACTGAGCTAACCAAGGGGGAGGAAACAGGATATCTGCGCAGTGCTGCAGCTCCCTGGCTGGACTGTCATCCGGTTGACAGTCACAATGGCCAGGTCAATTTCCTGTAATCCTAGCTCCCTCCAGAAGTAGCAGCAGGGGCCCAGATCCTGGGGGATCTGAACAGGAGCATGTTCAGTTGCTGAAGCTTGTGGTCCACAGCCTGCAGAGAAAGGACTTGTGAGAGGCAGTGTGGTCCCAGCACCCATGTGCCCATAGAGCATCTCCTCACCCTCCTCCTGGGTGCACAAACCCTGCTCCAGCCTGCCCTGCCAGGGCAAAGCGAGACACCTTCAGGAACCAGCTCTAGGAGCTCAGCATCCCTCAAGATCTGGTCAGAGACTTGGCCAGCATGGCATTCATGGGCCAGTGGCTCCTCTTCCTCTCCATGGCTTAGCAGCAGTGCGCCTAGCTGCCCCACACTCCCAGCTTCGAGGCAGATGGACATGGCCACCTCCATCAGCAACCTGGTCCACTCTTTATACCTACGCATCCTAATGCGGCTGGAGATCTCAGATGGCCTCATACACTGCTTTGAGCTCCCCACAGCCAGGTTTCAGGATGTGAGCTACAACGTGGCCCTCACCCTGAGGGCAGGCTCCTGAGTGGGGGGTCTGAATGTAAGGCTGTAACCTTCTCTTTAAGTGAAAAGCACAGTTGTGCCTTTTTTTTCTCTTTGTTGGTCACGGGGCTTGAACTCTGGGCCTGGGTGCTGTCCCTCAGCTCTTTAGCTCAAGGTGAGTGCTCTACCACTTGAGCCACTGTGCCACTTCTGGTTTTCTGGTGGTTTATTGGAGATAAGAGTCTCACAGACTTTCCTGCCCAGACTGGCTTTGAACTGTGATCCTCAGATCTCAGCCTCCTGAGTAGCTAGGTTACAGGAATGAGCCACCGGCGCCCAATGTGCCTCCTTTTAAAAGTAAAACAACGGCTGGGCGTGATGGTACATGGGAAGTTAAGGCAGAAGGATAGGAAATTCAGGGCCAGTCTCGCAATGACTCTTCATAAAAACTATAGAAATAACTGGGTGCCGCTGGCAAACACATAAGGCTAGCTACTTGGGAGGCCGCTATCTGAGGATCACAGTTTGAAGCAGCCTGGGCAGAAAAGTCCTTGACACTCTCATCTCTAATTAACCACCCAAAAGCAAGAAGAAGAGCTGTGACTCAAGTGATAAGAGTGCTATTCTTGAACAAAAAGCCCAGGCACAGTACCCAGGTTCAAGCCCCAGGACAGGCACACATACACACCAGAAAGTAAAATGACCACTCAAAACATGCTGATTAGAACTGCACACTTTCCACAGCTGTTGAGTCTTTGCTCTTGGGTGTGGCCATGTGCACACAGTGGAGGTCCAGGATCCAGGGGAGGTCAGTCTGCAGACACCCTGACCCAATGGCCTCTAAGCCATCTGCTCAGCTGTTTTCTCAAACTCTGTACTTTGGCATGGATGTGCCCCTTCTATTTTCAATCCCTGATCTCATGGAACTGGTATCTTAGCAGATGAGGAGAAACCATTACACAGTGCAAATTAAACTTGAGCACAGACTTTTGGAGAGTGGTGACCCCATGAACAGCAGGGCCACATGAGAAGAGGCAGGTGGGGGGCAGGAGGCCACCAGAGTAAGATGGGGGCCCCTTGAGGGCACGGTGTCAGAGCACAGGCCTGAAGGCAGCCAGGGAGCACAGCGCGCGGGGCAGGGGGGCAGCTGAGGCGCAGGCTGCGGATGGACATCACAAGCAGAGCTCCCTGTGGCTGACGGGGAGTGGGAGCAACCCCTTGGAGGGTGTTAAGTTGGGAAGAGTACCTTCAGAGGACACCGACTCAGTTCAGAGATTCCAGTGGAAGCCATTGAAGATGCTCTGGTGATTATTTTAGAAGGGTATCCTGGCCGTAGTATTGAGAATAGCATGGCGGGAGGGCGGGAGGAGGAGGTGGCTGGCGAGGGGAGCCCTCTTTCATGGGCCTATTGCACGAACCTCCTCTACCACCTCCCCCAACCCCCACTGCTCAATAGCTTTCAGCGAATTTTCTTACACCATCTTCACACACAGACACATTTTATTTTGCTATTATTCACCCTCCATAATTCTTTACATTTCCCTCCTTCTCCTCATCCCCCCACTGTTACAATCATATTGCATTCTACACCTGATAGTAAGCTGTTTTTAAGAACAGGACATAACTCTTTGAATTACGGCATATAGGTGCACAATAGCAATAAAGACTAGGTGTTCCAAGAGGGTTTGCTTCAGGACAAGAGAAGCCAGCCACAGGGCTCCAGGACTTAGGACTGACTTTGGTTCTTATCTCTGTCTCTCTATCTCTCTGTCTCTCTGTCTCTCTCTCTCTCTTTCTCTCTCTCTCTCACACACACACACATCTTTTTACCCCTTTCCTGGAGCTACTCATTTTTGATGCTCCCTACCATTTCTTTTTGTTTTTCTAGGTTAACTAGTTTCTAAAATCTGATTTGATCTTCCTTACAGCATAGACTGAAATATTTATATAAGAACTATGCTAACTGAAGCCAATAATAAAGTATTTTCTGCATCTTGAGATGGGTTCCTTTCTTTTAGCATTCTCAAAATATGGGGAAATTGTATTAAAATATCAAACAAAGTTACTTTTCATAGTACTTTTTAATTTGCCTATCCAATTTCACATTTATTAATTAGAAACAATGACTGAACTTTCTATCTACTTTGAATGTTAAAGAATTAAGCAACACAAATAACTAGTAAAAGAACACGTGTGTTAATAAGGAAGGCCAAGGTATATTTCCTTAATAATTTTTAAAGAATATACTCAAGAACTTAAATCTCATACAAAACACAGAAGCAGTGCTAAAAATAAAATGCCTTAATTTTACCCATTTTTTTATCCACCTGTATCAGCTCATTAAAATCACTGTTTCAAATTTCTACCAATTTTCCTTTGTAAGTTCTAGACTTGCAAAAGTACTTTTATGTACATTTGATTCTTACATTTCATACTTAATATTTATAAATTTGAAATTTATTTTGCACAGATCTATGCCTTTACTACTTTCAGACAAGAGTCACATGGAAAAATATTAACTGCTCAACACAAACAGCTGTTTACAATAAAAATCTTGCCGACAATATAGACTACATTATGACTGATCTATTTGAAAACAGAAAGTAGTATATTACACTGAATTATGGTTGCAAAGTGCTTGCTCACAGGAAAACATATTTTCCTTTCTTTTTATAAAATAAACACCAACCTATTTCTTACATATATTACAACTATATTAACCGAACTCTGGTTTAAAAATCACCCTATAAAATGTTAAGAAAAGTTTAACATAAAGGGAAGACTTGTCTTATTTATTATAATCCATAATACTTATGTTATTTTTAATCTACCATAAAGGCAAATGCATTTTAAAAATGCAATCCATATTCAATTATAGGAAAAAATTTAGTTAACCCACATACTATAACAAATTTCACATATATCATTCATTTAATATTACATCCAAAAAATTCAATATAACATAGCAATTGGAATAATTTCAACAAGAATCTGAAAATTACAAAAATATTAGCAAACAAACTTAACTCATGCATTTTTCTCTGAGAGACAGAAGCCTGACTTTAAGAAGCAGGTAAAAGAAAGTATGAGCTAGCTTCCCGTTACATCACCAATCTAGGGATAAATATATATTTTTTTTTTTTACACACACACACACACACACACAACATATGTGTGTGTGTGTGTGTGTGTGTGTGTGTGTGTGTGTGCATACAGACTGCCTTGTGTGATAAAATGATTCTGCTAGCTAAAAAAGCAAAAAAGAGACAAAATAACCATTTAAACTGGCCAAACCAAAGCGATATTGAATCCCTGGAGGTTAAGGTGAATCATAAAATCTCATAACTTAATCCTATATCAGGGAATTACTTACAAGTTGCACTACTCTTTTCTTTGGGCTAAGAAAGAGAAATATTTAAAAAGAGACAATGTTTCACATCAGCAACATAACTTAAAATCTGCTGACTACTAGATTGTTTTTTTTCCTAGACCCACAAATTCATGAAAAGCTATTGACACAAAGGCAGGGAGAAAATGGATTTTTTTCACAAGCCACTGAGTTACAACGTGTAATATAATGGAGCTACTAAAATACATATATTATTCTTAAGAAAATTTACAAAACTAACAAATCTTTTTCTCCAGAATTATAAAAGATAAAATCTATGAATCAGTACTCTAATGCAATCACAGAAAGATAGCAAACTGAAGTCAAAGCACAGGATGTCTATCACATTCTGTATTTCCTGCAGTCTTTTAGAGAACACATGGTCAACGTCTTAGAAATCATCTGTTATGGTCTTTAAAGCTGGGCATTAATCATCCCTATGGATAGGGGAAGAGGAATTGAGCTTTCTACACAATTTTTATAAAAAACTTGTCTCCTTTTCAGGAGGTTATTTGACAGTGGTTCTTTTAAAGGTAAGGAGAGCTGGGGGGCCAGGGACTGCTTGGAAGTCATGGAATTCCAGCAAAACTTCCTGCAGTTTGATACTTTTACTCCTCCCTTAATCCCATTTTTTTCTTTTAAAAATTACAGTTGGCAATTTTCATAAAATTTAATTATTTGAATTAAAATAAGGGAGAGTTTTGCAATAGTATTTATTTCACTCTCTAGAATATTAAAAAAAAAAAGTTCAGTGGAACTCAGAGCCAATAATTAAGAGGTTGATATCATAAAATTCAAACCTGGAGGGGAGTATGTCACACATTTGCGGATGTGTGCTTTGCGGCACACAGTGCGGTCAGACTCAGGTGCGTTTGAGATATGTAGGGTGTTCCTGGCATCAGGGACAGTTTTGACAAGAAGGCTCTAGCTTTCAAGAGCGTTTCATCAGAGAGGGACAAGCTAATGCCTACTGAAGTAAAACATTCTTCTCTGCAGTATGTGTCTTGTCAGATTGTTTACATAATCTGTCACACCACTGGATCAGTTTTAAAGGACAATCAGGAGCCAGAAATGGGAAACCACACGTGGATGAAGCCAGTGGCCCTCAGAGGCACTAGCAGCAGGGAGTGGCAGACTAGACTGGCTTTGCCTCTCCCTCACTTCCCTTTTTAAACAAAACTTACTTTTCTCTGTAATAAAGCAAGTAATACTTCAGGGGGTCTGGCAGCGGGAGGCCTAAGACCCTCTGTCGCAGGGAGTTTACCGGAGGCTCAGGTTTGACTTCCCGGGGGGTCCTCTCTGCTGCCTCCTGCTGCTCTTCTTCTAAGTCCTCACAGCTGGTGTCATCAGAGGGATTGGAAATACGACTAGCAAAGACCTCCTTGTCCAAAAAGACGATGGTCTCCATCCTTCGACAGCGGACCCTCCTTCGCTTAAGCCTGGGTGTGCTCTTCAGTCCATTTCCACCTTTGTTCACTGCTTCCTGGCAGATGACCTTCTTGATTGTGCTTCGGATGGCAATGCGGGCCAAGTCTTGTAGGCTTCGAACAGCTGGTGGTGCTGTAGCCGAGTGAGGGGCAAAGGCCTGTGAGTGAGGGCCCCACGGATTCAAAACCCTATGGCTATTCTGATTTGTTGGAACAGTGATGGGCCCTGACCAAGAGCACAAAAGCTTTCTAAGCAACGTTAGTCAGTGCTCTAATTTATATGTATATGTTATCTTTCAAGAGGTATTTTTAGACACACTAATTCTTAACTCCAAAAAGGAAATAAAGCATTCTTAGTAGTAGAATTAAAACCTTACAGTTTCCAACAGCTTCATTTGTGCATTAATACCCATGTAGTAGCAATATCTATCTCCAATATTCTTTTATCTATTTTACTACTGCCATGGCAATTTATAAATTGAACATCTGTTCTCTTTTTTTATTACCGTCAGGAAAATGCAAAACTTTTTTTAAGAAACACAAAACGTCACAGGACACCAAAGAAAAAACACACTGGCAATTAAAATTCACTATGTAATGCAGGCAACATACGCCTATAAGGGCGTCAGAAGGGAACTGATGGCCATTGTTAAATATACTAAACAAAAAAGTCTGTATCACTTTCCCCATCCAGTACCTAATTTGTCTAGATAGCAGTTCACACTATAGGAAGGCTCTAGTGCTGTCTACATTGACTAAAACCAAAAAGCTTGTGCACCAAACCCTGCAATCTCTTCTGTCCTACAAGAGGCTTGCAACTGAGGCGCTCACCAGAAAACAGGGAGCAACTGTTCCCACTTTTATAAATGCCAACCTTCCTCTCCTGCAACTGAGGTGCTCACCAGTAAACAGGGAGCAACTGCTCCCACTTGTATCAATGCCAACCTTCCTCTCCTGCTTTTCTGTCTCTGAGGACAAGCGACTCCACCCTCCTCTCTAGGATGGCTCTCACACTGCTTCTGCCTGAAGTCCAGACACTTCACTGAGCACCTATGCCGTGTCCCTCACCATTCACAACCTGTTGACTAGCCTGGCCTTACCAATTCATTTCAAGGAAGGTGAGCTCCTGCCAGCCAGCTGTCCCCTAAAGATGCTGAAATGGCCCTTCACAACCCAACCGCTTTGGCTTCTCCAGTCCTCCCTGGGATGTTGCAGGAGACGCCCTCCCCTAGGAGGCTTCTTTCTGGCCCTTCCTCTTCTACCCAGCCCTGCAATGCTCCCGAGGCTCCCGTGTTCACCATCATCCTTTCTCAGCATACCTAGTGGATCTTGGTTGCACACCCACTTTGTGGCTTTAGGGGCACAGGCCAACTTCCCAGGTGTCTATCGAGTCCTGACCAGATCCTGAACCTCCCCTAGAGCCATGTCTATAAAACACACAGACACCTCAGGCTCTCACACCCCTCCAGAAAGGCCACTTGTCCCTGAACCTTTCCCATCATCAAGACCAGTGTTCCCATATAGTGCATTCCCACAAGGCATACGGCCTTACTGTACACATTACTCATGCAGCTTCTCTATTCCACTGTCTTCATCAACTTTCCTGCTCTAGGAAAATCTGGCCTAGGAAAATGAAAGTTGCAAACAACCTGAATTTCAGGAACCCTAACTAGCACTCATGAAAGTTTATCACCCAACAATGGCTTTAAAAGCTTCACCTCCAAGAAGGCATCATGGGGGCCAACTATAAATGGTTCTTATCCAGGCCTAACCAAGCCCTCACAGAGAGTCACTCCTTTCCAACTCAAAAGGTCTCATAAACACCCTGACACACCCCTTCCTTCTGACTCTACAGTGTTTGCTTACAAAACTTTCTTTGTGCTATTTTCAGAGCTCTCTGACTGACCTCTAAGGTAATACAGAGTACAGGTGTACTGAGTCTTCTTTTAAAACATCTGTAGCTCTCATAGCCCAGTGACAAATTGGAACCTACATACCCATCTAGTTTTGCCCACAAACCCTAATTCTGACCACACTGGGGGACTGTGTACCCTTGAGCATGCCCTGCTTCTGCTCACACTTTTTCTCCACATCCCTATTCTCTTTTTAGGGAATTACTTTTCACACTGATGAACGAAAACAAACATCATCCTCCAGCTAACCAACTTTTCAGGGTCCTTCCAAGACTCTCCGCATGCTCCAATGCTGCCTGCTGCCAAAGTTCACATGACTTATACTGAGGAAAGTGTTTCCATTTGATAAATGATTCCTTGCAAATTAAGAAACTTCAAAGGAATTCAACAAAATGTATTATCTTTGGGTGCTGGAACCATGTATGGTAGTTTTTATTTTTTCCAAACTTTCACAAATAATCAAGAGTGCATGCAGAGTATTTGTATTTTGAATCAACAGAATTCTCATTTCCATGTAAATGGTTCAGATGATAAAACATTAAGATGGATGCTGCCTTGAGGGGATAAACAACAGGGCACAGAGAGGGAGGCAGCACCGCCTCCCATCTACACACAGCAGATAAAGGAAGCAGGGTCTCAGCCCTTACTCTCCCCGTGCAGCAGCGAGAGACAGGTGTTTGACAGCAACGCAGACTCCAGTGCCATCCCATTCTCCTAGTGGAGTCTCTCTCACAGGAGCACTAGGTCTTTTTTTGGTGAATCTACTATTCTTGAAGGTCTGAATAGTAACAGCTCTTTCTAGACCTAAAAGATGACTAAAATAACTTAAGATGGTCTAAAAAGAGATAATTTTTAAATGTTTACAAATACCTTGTACAATTTTAAGGTTTTAATGGAGTGTAAACATTCTTTAATATCAAAATGTTTCTTATAATTTCATTTCTTTCTAACTTTAGTGAGATTAAAAGGTCTAAAAGGCAAGTGTGGTACATGTACTCACGTAGTTGGACAAGTCTAGACTTTCCCGACTCAGAGTGGCAAGGCTGGACCAGAGGGGCAAAGGAGACCGCCAGAATCTTCTTGGTTTCCCAAGCAGAAGGACCTATGCGTGTTATCTTGGTCAACTATCACACAGAAAAAAAATGAAAATGGTACAATAATCCCTATATAAAATAGAAAAATGTGCGAATACAATAAAATCAAATAGTCTGACAATATGGCCCCCAAACGTGAGGTGCATGAAGTGCAGCTGACTTACAAACAGTTCTGCAAAAATGCCTGAAGATATTCAAACTGCTATACCTACCACTTTTTTCCTATTTACAAGAAATACATATGATAAACCAGCTAAAGGACTACAAGAAGTAGCAGGCAAATCAAGAAAGTACAAATTCCTATCACAGCAGTTTTTTGGTTTTCCAAAATAAGCGAGTAGTTGGGGGTAAATGTGAGGAAGGGCTTATATAAACAATACTCTAAACATACAGAATCTGCCAACATGTGCACTGCTTCTGGGAACACTACACAGATATCCATGCAACCAAGGGGACTGTGGGAGAAGCCTGCACACTGCTTCAGTTCTACTAAGACTTTCTTGACTGCAAACCACTGTCCTAACTCTCCCAGGAAGAGTATACCTGAGGAGCACGAGGCAATTTTTTGGCTAACGCACAACAATGGAAGTCATCAAAAAGAACTTGTGTGTGTGTGTGTGTGTGTGTGCGCGCGCGCGTGCACACGTGTGCATACGCGTGTACACTCCAGTCCTTTGGTTTGAACTCAAGGCCTGGGCGCTGTCCCTGAGCTTTTTGCTCAAGGCTAGCACTCTACCACTTCAGCCACAGCTCCACTTTTGGTTTTTTTTTTTAGTGGTTAACTGGAAATAAAGAGTTTCACGAACTTTCCTACCCAGGCTGGCTTTCAACTACAATCCTTGGCTCTTAGCCTCCTGAGTACCTAGGATTACAGGCATGAACCACCAGTGCCTAGTCAGAGTATTTTTTACTACAGTATTAGCACTGAAGAATCCAATTAGACAACACAGCCTCTGTGTATTTGGTTTGACTAAGCCAGTCTCCAGTGTAATTAGGTCACAGCACTGCTAAGATTATATACTAGGTCTTTTCTAAAAATACCCAATCCAGCAAATCCTCTGAAACTGATTCTTTAAAAGGCTTACATACCCATGTACTAGGTAAATATAAACAAGTCTACACACATTACTGCATATCAACACCAAATATTTAAATATAATCATTTAATGACATGTGAGACCTAAAATGAAACTATAAACTCTTACTTTATATTCTAGAGAAGCCTATGAAATATTGTAAGAATGTCCATAATCCTCAAATTAATCTAGAGAAGAAATGATTGCTATCAAAAGTCTAATTCAATATAGAACACGAAGATTTCTAGTACCATTTGTTTAAGTAAAAACAAACTCAAAATAATGATCTGAGAATGAAAACCAAAAATGGGACTACTCAGTACCATCACACTCTACAGTCCAGGCAAATAGCAGGGGTCATGCAGCAGTCAGAAACACTTGTACCAGCTCCTTTTTATTCTGCTAATGATGGTATTACCTTTGAAAGTGTGGTTTTAAAATGTGTAGCCTTTGACAACGCATTTCTGCTCTTACATGGAGGTTATACTTGGAGATAATGAATACAAGATACAATACAAGATACAAGAATAGCCAGGTGACAGTGGCTCACATCTGTAATTCTAGCTACTCAGGAGGCTGAGATCTGAAGATCATGGTTCAAAGCCAGCCTGGGCAGGAAAGTCTGTGAAACTCTTATCTCCAATAAACTACCAGAAAACCGGAAGTGGTACTGTGGCTCAAGTGGTAGAGCGCTCACCTTGAGCTGAAGAGCTGAGGGACAACACTCAGGGCCCCATGACTGACAAAAAAAAAAGATACAAGAATATTCACAAAAATGACATATAAAGGCTCTCCCTGAGAGGGCTATTTATTACAGTAAAAATAATAGTAATAAAAAAGGCTATAAGGAGATAAATCTCCCATCATTAAAACCTGTTTTTATTCACCAACAATTAAACAGCAAAAGACCAGAAGACCCAAGAACACAAGGCTCTCAATTCAAGCCCCAATTCCAGGGGGGAAAAATTGGTGAGGGGGGGGGCAACATGGGGGAATTTTTTTTATAAAAGTACTAAATATCCAGTATTAGAAAACCAAAAAGACAAGATCTATAAGAAAACTATAAACATTTATGTCATATAAAGAGGTATATTTTCTTTTATATTTATTTATTTTTGGTCGTGGGGCTTGAACTCTGGGCCTAGGCACTGTCCCTCAGCTCTTCAGCTGAAGGCAAGTGCTCTACCACTTAAGCCATAACATCACTTCTAGTTTTCTGGTAGTTTATTTGAGATTAGAGTCTCATGGACTTTCCTGCCCAGGCTGGCTTTGAACCGTGATCCTCAGATCTCAGTCTCCTGAGTAGCTAGAATTATGGGTGTGAGCCACCGGCATCTGGCTCTGCTATATAGTTTTAAATAATGATAAACCAAAAGCAAATAAAAACAGTCACCTACTTGATAACTGAATTCAACAAGTAGTAAAAAAAAAATCATCAAATTATTTTCATCCTAAGGATGGTTCAATACAGATAAAGCAGTAAGCATAGTACAGTACATTAACAGAACCAAAGACAATAATGGAATAATCATCTCAATAGATGCAGAAAAAGCCCTTGGCAAAATTAATATTCATTTATAATAAAAACCCTAGAGAAGCTAGGAACAAAAGAAACATACCTCAACATAAGAAATGCTATTTATAGGGCTGGGAAGGTGGCTCAGTGGTAGAGCTCTTGCTTTGCATGCATGAGGCCCTGGGTTCGATTCCTCAGCGCACATAAGCAAAAAGAAAACAGCTGGAAATGGTGCTGTGGCTCAAGTGGTAGAGCACTCGCCTTGAGCTAAAGAGCTGAGGGACAGCGCCCAGGCCCAGAGTTCAGGCCCACAACTGGACCCAAAAAAAAAAATGCTATTTATGAAAATCTACAGCCAACACCATAGTAAATGGTTAAGGACTACAATAATTTCAAGAACAAGGATGTCTATTTCTCTCCACTCCATTTCAATATAGCACTGGAATTCCTAGCCAGAGCAATAAGGTAAAAAGAAGATGTGCTGGGCACGTGGTGGCTCACGCCTATAATCCTACTCAGGAGGGTGAAATCTGAGGATTGCGGTTCAAAGCCAGCCCCGGCAATAAAGTCTGTGAAACTCTTATCTCCAATAAACCACCAGAAAACCGGAAGTGGCACTGTAGCTCAAGTGGTAGAGTGCTCACCTTGAGCTGAAGAGCACAGGAACTGCGCTCAGGCCCAGAGTTCAAGCCCCATGACCAACAAAAAAAGAAGAAGAAAGAAGGAAAAGGAAGAAGAAGGAGGAGGAGGAGGAGGAGGAGGAGGAGGAGGAGGTGGTGGTGGTGGTAAGAGTGATCCAAATAGGGAAGAAGTTAAAGTATCCCTATTTCAAGATGATATGATCTTATATCCAAAGGACCCCAGAGAGTCCACCACTAAGCTCACAGAGCTAAACAATGAATTTGGTAAATCAACAGGATATAAAATCAATTAAAAAAATAGTTTTTCTGTATACCTACAATGAAAAAATATAGAGAGAAATCAGGAAAACAATTCCATTTGTAAAAGCCTCAAGAAACATACGTAGGAATAAACCTAATCAAAGAAGTGAATGGACTTCTACATGAAGAACTATAAAACTTTGAAGAAAGAAATCAAAGAAGATACCAGGAAGTAGAAAGACCTTCCATGTTTGTGGATTAGCAGAAATAATATCATGAAAATTGCCATCCTGCCAAAGGCAATCTACAAAATCAATGCATTACCCATCAAAATCCCAATGCCATTCTTCACAAAGATAGAGAAAACAATGCAAAACTTTATCTATATCACAAAAGGCCTTGAATAGCCAAAGCAATCCTGTGTGAACAAAAAGCAATTCTGGAGGTATCACAATTCCAGACCTCAAACTTTATTACAGAGCTACAGTAACAAAAACAACTTGGTACCGACCTAAAAACAGACTTAAAGACCAATGAAATGGACTAGAAGATCTAGAAATAAACCTATACGCTTAGATCCATTTGATATTGACAAGGGAGCCAAAAATATATGTTGAAAAGAAGACAGCCTCTTCAACAAATGATGGTGGGGAAAATTTGATATCCATATGCAGCAGACTGAAAATGGATCCCTGTCAGCTTGTACTAAATACCAATTCAAAGTGAATCAAAGACATCAGTATAAGACTTGAAACTTGGAACTACTACAGGAAGGAGAAATATTAAAACTTCTTGGTATAGGCAAGAATTTCCGAATAGAATCCCAGGGCCCAGCTAATAGGAAAGAGAATTGACAAGTAGGACTGTATTAAGCTAAAAAGTTTCTGCACAACAAATGACTTAGTTACTAAGCTAAAATGACAGCCTACAGAATGAGAGATTTTTGCCAGCTATACATCTGATAAGGGCCTAAAAAAACTAAACCCTAAAGAATCAATAAATCAATTTAAAATGGACAAAAGAGCTAAAGAGAGACTTATTCGAAGAAGTAAAAATGGAAAATAAACACATGAAAAACACTCAACATTTCCGGCCATAAAGGTAATGCAAATCAAGGCAGGCAATGGTGGCTCAAGCTTGTAATTCTATCTACTCAGGAGCCTGACTGAGATCTGGGGATCATGGTTCAAAAACAGCTCAGGAGGAAGCCTGTGAAACTCTAATCTCCAATTAATCACAGAAAAAGTTAGAACTGGAGCTTCAGCTAAAGTGGTAGAGTACTAAGCTTTGAGCAAAATGAGCTAAGGAACAGTGCCCAGGCCCAGAGTTCAAGCCCCAGTAATGGCAAAAAAAGGAACTGCAAGCTGGGTACCGGTGGCTCACGCCTGTAATCCTAGCTATTCAGTAGACTGAGATCTGAGGATTACAGTTCAAAGCCAGCCCAGGCAGGAAAGTCTGTGAGACTCTTATCTCCAATAAACCACCAGAAAAAAACAGAAGTAGCGCTGTGGCTCAAGGAATAGAGCACTCAAGCCCCACAACAGACCCCCCCCCCAAAAAAAGGAACTGCAAATCAAAACAACATTGAGATTTCTTCTCACCCCAATTAAGATTGGCCACCATCAAGAATACAAACAGCAGCCAGGCACTAGTGGCTCATGCCTATAATTTTAGCTACTCAGGAAACTGAGACTTGAGGATCACGGTTGGAAGCCAGCCCAGGCACGGAAGTTTGTGAGACTCTTATCTCCAATTAACCACCAGAAAAAAACTGGAAGTGGAGACTCTTATCTCCAATTAACCACCAGAAAACTGGAAGTAGAGCTGTGGCTCAAAGTGGTTAAGTGCTAGCCTTTAGCGCACAAGTAAAAGCTCAGGGACACTGAATTTAAGCCCTATTTAAAAAAAAAAAGGAATAAGAAAAACAACAAATGCTGGTGGGGAAATGGGGAGAAAGGAACCCTATTACGCTATTGGTGGCAATGTAAACTAATGCAACCACTTTGGAAAGTAGTCTTTTTGAGATTACTCAAGAAAGAAAAAAAGTTTTCATCATAGAGGTCCTTCACTTCTTTGGTTAAGTTAATTCCTAGGTATTTTTTGTGTGTGGGGGGCTATTACAAATAGAGTTGCTTTCCTAATTTCAGCCCCACTTTTCTCATTGTTGGCATACAGAAAAGCCATTGATTTGGGGGGGTTAATTTTATACCCTGCTACTTTGCCAAGGTTTTGAATCAGCTTAAGTAATTTGGGAGTGGAGTCTATGGGATTCTTTAAATACAAGATCATGTCATCTGCAAAGAGGGAGAGTTTTATTTCTTCTTTCCCTATTTGGATCCCCATTATGCCTGCATCTTGTCTTATTGCTGTAGCTAGGCATTCTAATACTAGATTGAAGAGAAGTGGAGAGAGTGGACATCCTTGTCTTGTTCCTGAGTTAAGTATAATGCTGGCTGTAGGTTTGTCATACACAGCCTTTATTGTATTGAGGAATATTCCATGGATTCCTAATTTTTCCAAAACCTTCATCATAAAGGGGTGTTGGATCTTGTCGAATGCTTTTTCTGCATCTATTGAAATAACCATGTGGTTCTTATTCTTGCTCCTGTTGATGTGATGAATATTATTAATTGATTTGCATATATTGAACCAGCTTTGCATCCCTGAAATGAATCCTGTTTGATCATGGTGTATGATTTTTTGGATGAATTGTTGAAGTCGATTGGCCAAAATTTTGTTGAGAAGTTTTGCATCAATGTTCATCAAAGAAATGGGTCATATTAAGTGAAGTAAGCCAGGCCCAAAGAAACATAGGTCCCATGGTTTCCCTTATTTGCAATATCTAGTATATGTATGAGTCAAGCGGAAAAGGTCAGATAATGTGATGTTAGGAAAATGAACCCTTAGATATGTATTTTAATGTTTTTTCTTTCATGCATTTGTTTCTAACGCATTTATAAGATTATTTCTTTGTTGCTTTGTATGTCCCTCCCCCACAGTATAACCCCTGCTTTCACTATATTTGATGTCAGTATAACTTGTGGAGGAGATGGGGAAAAACAAGTCGTTTAAGGACCTGTTGCAACAATGAGAAGTACAAGTTGTCATGTCGAAAACGAGCTTTACAACATTGTGGGGGGACAGGGGGGAGGGGGAGATTGATGGGGGAGGCTGGGAAGGGATGTGAAGGGTAAACAAAGGAGGAGGCTGCAATGCTTGGTAAGAAATGTACGCATTATCCTGCCCAGGTAGTTGTAACCCCTCTGTACAGTATGTTCACAAAAAATAAATAAATAAAATATAATGAAAAAAAAAAGAAAAAGAAATGCAAAAAAAAAAAAAGAACAGAACTACCCTATGATCCAGCAACACCATTCTTTGGATATCTATTCAGAATATTACAAGTCAGGATACTGTAAAGACACAATCTTGTACACTGCTGCACTATTCATGATAGCAAAGCTATAGAAGCAGCCCCAATGCCCTACCATGGATGAATGGTTCAAAACAATGAGAGATATATGTACACACACACACACACACACATATATATATACATATATATATATATTATATATATATGGACACACAATGTGTTTTTATTCATTTACTTATTTTTACTCATTTGGAAATCATGTTAAGAAGTAAGGTCAGAGAGACAAAGCAAGCACATTTTCTCTCATATGTGGAATCTAGAGCTAAATTATAAACATATATGAGCACATACACAGGGTCATACATACATACACATACACACAAACACACACACACACACACAAATCAACTAAAGTATGGTACACGTAGGGGAGGATTCCGATGGTGTAATACTGAACACCAAACTTACAGTTTAGCAAAATGAGTAGCAAGAAGCTGAGACATGTTTTGTCAGGGGAGGGGGAGAGACAAATTAGAGAGTATGGGTGGGTGAATACAGTCATAATATTCAATGTACCTATGTGAAAATGGTATCAGGTAATTTGAGGGAATGGATAGAATTCTGAATATATATATATATATATATTTCTGATTTATTCATATACAACAATTCTGATAAGACAGGTGTGGTAGTACATGCCTGTAATTTCAGCACTGCAAAACCTGGGACAAGAGGACCATGGATTTATAGATAGCCTGGACTACATAGCAAGTTCTAGACAACCCTGGGCTACATATTGAGACCCTGTCTCAAAAAGTAGAATAGCTGAGTAAAGAAAAGGATGAAGGGAAAAAGAATGACAGGGAAAAAAAGAGAAGGAAGAAGAGAACAGGAGTTAGAATAAAGGTGAAGGAACATAACACTTGAGCCAGGTTCTCTCTTCACCTAGAGTCTGTGTAACCCAGGCACGCTTCCACTCCTATTCCCTGTCTCTTTCTTGTAATATATCAACTGGGAGTAATACATCAAGTGGGAGTGGGTGTCACAAGAGTAAATATGTACAAACTGCCTGGAACACACCACGGTAGAAAGTAAGACCTGTCAGTTATGAAGAGAATCTTACCTTCTCCTCCAAGGGCATGACAAGGATCCCTCCAACTTTGAGAAGATTCTTCATGTACTCTTCATGTTCTTTCTGCACACCAGCCCCACAATACACACGATCATACTGACAACAATCTGGAGAAATTTCCAGGCAATTGCCAGTAACAAAGGAAGGTTCACAGAAGTCGAACCTGAAAGGAAAAAAAAAATCTGTAACTAAATGCATTGTTGCAATGTTGCAACAAGTCCATCCAGCAAATTTTCAAAATCCCAGAACAATCTAATAGTTTCCAGAGATAGGAGCTAAATCCACACTTGTATATTAAATAAAGAGAACCCTAGAAATTCCTAACAGAACAGAATGGGAATGAGTGCTATACGCACAATCCAAAGTTAAAGTAATCTCTAGTTGTTCTTTACTGTTTTTATAGCACTCATATTCAAGATGTTTTCCAACAAGTGAGAGGAAGAAAGACCCCATTTTGTTGCTCTAAAAATTTGAACCCCCTTATTTTAAAATGGCAACACTTTAAAATCACAGAATATTAAAATAGCAATTAGCATAAGCACACAGATAACCAATGATCATTGACCACAGTTCAACCAAGTTAACTAGGCATATGAACACTAATTAGCCGATGTCCTTATATTTGCTCAAGTTTGTAATAAAGTATAATTTACATCCTCTGACTTAATGGCCAGCATCTGATCGTACTTGTCAAAGCTGTCACTTGTTCTGATGAAGAAGTCCAGTTTCTGCTTTGCATACTCTGTCACATCTGAATGAAGCTCCACCCCATGGTTCACACCAAAAGGACCTGAAAGTTTTGAGAATAGCAAAGCTTTTAGAACTCTTGCTCTTTGTGTTTTACTGCGTCTTTAACCGCACAGCTGACCTGGCAGAAACTCAGAGGGCTGTGAAATCTTAGCATAGCTTTTAGAACTCTTGCTCATTG